TACAGACTATTATTTTTAAAAGTATTTCCCAAAATAAGTTTTGGCATGCAATAGCCAGCAACATTTTTTTTTGTCTAGCTAAGAACCCATGATATGTAGATGTGAGACAAATCCCCATGTTTAATGAAAACACCAACGTTTATCCATTTGCCAAGGAAGAAAAGAATAGGGGGAAGCTTTTCCGTACTCTTGTCATATAAAGTTAGGAAAGTACTTAGAAGCATTTTATGTGTAACACTTATGAGCTGACTCTATTTCTAATGGACAAAAGGTTGGCAGTACTGAAAGGGATGTTGCTAAGGTATACAGCAAAGTGTGTAAAACTGAAGCATTATTTTTACTCCACTTGCTGTCACTGTCCAGAATTTTTCTCTTGATTATCTAGGCTAACCCTGTCTTAGTTTCATTATGTTTCTCCTACTCAATCCCCTTTGTACGGTCAATTAAGTGTTCGTTATTCTTAGTGGTTATTCCCTTCAAATATTTGCAGATAGTTATTACGATCGCTCTTGTTGTCTTTAGCGAAGCTATAAATATATATTCAGTGCTTTATCTTTCTTCACAAATTAATTTCTCCAATCTCTTAATCATGTTTAGGGCTCTTCTATAAACTCCTTATTTTCCATTATCTTCTGGTGATGACGTGTTTAGAAACTGATGGCAATATCTGTGTGAGCTATTATCACAGTTACATTGAGGAGAAATGTAATTTCTCTGTCCTACAATGCTACTCCTCTGAATATAGCACCAATATACCACCTCGGTTTCCTAGCCATGTTACATGTAAGCACCTACCAAATTTATAGTTTATGGAGTGTAGGAGTTTACATTATTCATCTCTTTCCATGATAATCTGTTTATCATATGACTTATATGACTGATTTTCCAAATTAATCCCTACCTATTGTGAAATGAAGCATGTTCCATGAGGATGATCCTGAAGCTTAACCATTTGCTTTTCCTTGCAGAGGTTACTGTCATGCCATGTGATTCTTAATAATCAGAGCCATGCACTTCGAGGCATTTCAAGAAATTTTCATTTTGGTTTGTGATGAATATTAATTAGCATTAAAAATACACTCCCTTACTGTCTGATTTATTTCTTTAGGTTACTCATTACAGCTCTTCTGACTACAATAGCTGTCTTTATTATTTGAATAGGAACCAAGTAATAAGGTATTAAAAATTGAAAATCACACTCCAGCTACAGTTGGTTGGAGAGAAAGTGTCGTTTTGATTAAAATTTCTCTGAAACATTATTTCAAAACAGCTGTTGCTCTCTCTTTTTTTTTTTTTTCAAAGCAACATTATTTCAGTTTGTGGTGGTGCAATCATGTCTCTCCCTGATGGCTAAGAACACAAAAACCAAATAGTTAATTGAATGAAAATGTTTGCAGGGAAAAATTATTTTCCAGCTTGTCCTAACTCAAAATATGTTGTGGAAAATTAAGAGAAATTATTTAATGCGAAGATATGAACTCAAAGCAGAAATACAAAATACTTAAAACCATGGGATATGTCTGCGCTATAGTCACACAAATGATTAGAATGAAATACATAAAGAGCTCCTTTAAATATAATGTATAATTGTAATACCTAGCTTTAAACTAGCTCACTTAGGCTCTGATAGCAGCATACTCGTCCTACTTTAGTGTATGGTAATTTTAATCTGTTGAAGAGGGTATGTATGTTCACTGTGATTGCAATGCGGATGTACTTCTAACTGGAGTAAAATCCTTGGAAAAGGATTTGTTCCTGCAGGCTGTTGAACCGTCAGCCTAGAAGGGGCAGTTTTCAAACATGGAATCTTTGAGTCTATGTGTGTGTAGGCCAGTACACAGACTTGATTAACTACTTGCAGAATTGGGCCTTTCAATTTTTTTCTCCAAATTCTGGCTATGACAACTAAAATATTATTGTCATGTCTCTGTCTGGCACTGTGTCTGGGCAGAGAACGGTTCCAAAGTTGCATATAGCTCTTTCAATAAAGCAAAGCACACGAGAGAGAGATTTCTCAGGTCACAGAAATCTCTTTATGATTTTTCCTCTCCTTTTTCTTTCTGCAAGTCTAGAAGATCAAATTTAATCATTAAAAAACTGGCATCTTTTGCCAGGAGGGATATTTTTATACACGCTAATGGATTATTTTTGCTCTGCTTGGCAGGGGAGCTTTTCCTCCATATGCAACAACACTGTACATTAAAAGTTGGATTAGATGAGTTGATACTAGATACCCATTTTATGTTTCTGCACTTCACCCTCTGAAATCCACAGTCTTTGTTCTTTACATAATATTCCTGTGCTGCTGACCTTCCAAATGTTTCTTTAATTTCTGTTCCCTGCTGCACTGCAGGAGTTTTATGAGGGTGAACATAGAATTAGTAGTCCATTTCCATTAGTAGTAAATCTGCTTTTGCCCTTGCAGGGAGACCTTTGCTTCAGTGTCTGTACTTTTGTGAAAATAATGAATTCATGTAGGAGGTTACCCGGATAACAGCAACCCAAGGTTTAAAATCTAACCTGATACACCACTGCCGCAGGGCTAAATTCTGAGCCCATTTAAACAGGAGAGAGAGGCCACAAACATCAAAACATTCCCAGCAGCACTCATGGCTGCTCTAGTCACTACAGCACATGCAGAGGCTAATGATGCCTTAATTTAACTGTGCTGTGAATACTCTGTTTTCAAGAGAACAAAAAGGCTTTCTAATTCACAATTTTCTCTCTCTTTTGGTGAGTTGTTCCTTTTTTCTCAGGCACTAGCACTCCACCTGATTCATTTATCTGAGTGGTGTCTGAACTGAGGTGATTCTGGGAACTTCCTGAATCCACCATCATCTTCAGAAATAGATTAAATAGTTTTATTTTATTTATTTATATACATTTTCTATCAGTTTGCTTTGGCTATAATTTCAACAGTGCTCTAGAAAATGCTGCATCTATTGTAAAGCTGATATTCAAATTATGGCATTAACATTTGAATTTCTCCTACTAGTTTTTGCATCAAAAAGAAAATCAGATTGGTAGCTTGAGATTCCAAGATATCACAAGAAAACTGTCATTACGTTTTGTCAAATATTTTTTGCAGGACACAGAAAGCACAGGACAGGACATAAATATGTGAGAAGTACCATAGAACTGAAATATGATACAACTGGTTAAATGACAAAAAACTAAAGCATGTACATTTATTTGATCCTATCTTTTTGAAATCTGCATCCATTTTTAATTGCTATGATCAGTTACAAAAATGGGTATTTAATTTAAAAAAAAATCTTTTTTTCAGAAAAGTGGTCTTGTGCAAGAATATCTACACTAACATATAAAAAAGAACTAGAAATGTATTTGCACATCCTCTGACTATAGTTCAGCATTTTTTTCCAATATATTTTTATTAGGGATAATAACTTCTAAATAGCATTATTTACATATATTTCCTAGAGTTTTAATTTTAACAGCAAGCTGATATCCACTCATTCATAAGAGAGCAGCTCTATGCATCTGCATTTGTCCAAGCCTGAATACCAGGCCCCTGAATAAACGTAGAATAGCAAGCATAGCTGATAACCTGCTCCACTGAGCAGCTCACAAGACCAACAGGATAGCATCAGAACTACTTCCCTAAGCAAAAGTTTAGCTTAATAGTCACTTTCCATTTTAATACAACAGTAATTCATGTGTCTTGTTTTAAGGAGCAACGACTTTGAATAGATTTGCTTTGCATCTGAATTTGGCTGTGTAAAAACTAGTACCAAGAAGCTTTCAGTACTGATCCACTTAGGAGTGAAACAATGAGGATTACAGAGCTTTAGAGAGGTTGGAAGTACCCTAAGGATATAATCCCTGGTGAGGTCAAGGCTGGATAGCTTGGGGAAAAAGAAACATATAAGTGCCACAAAGACCCATTTTCCCTTCTCAATGAAACAGGCCAGAACATTGTTTGATGGCTCACTCCTTACCAGGTAAAGTGCATGAAAAAAGGTTCCATTTATTCTCCTCCCACACTGAGACTGAAAAATAAGTTGTAGAAACTCCTGCTCATTTTGCATTTAATCAGTTCTATCACCTGCTAAGCATAGACTCTGAGTGACAAATAATGACACTTCATAAAAATATCTACATATGTGTTCTCATCTGACTCTTGAAGCCTCTAACATTTGGAATTTCCAGAAAAGATGATGTATCCACATGGAAAATTTGGATTAAGTAACTGACAAAATTGAATTTCAATATATTCCTTCGGTGGATTTTTTGGCCTATAGAAACAAACAACCCATACATTTAAGTTTACTAAATAAGGTGCTCAGACCTTTGTTCTGTTCTGCCATAAAGCAAGATTTACCCTAACATAGACATAGTTTGTTTTCAAGAGGAATGTGAGAGCATCACAGAACCAACATTTTAGTAACATCCTACTGTCAGAACTGCTTCCCTTTGTAGAATGAGCACTGGTGCTTACAACGGTACTCTCTCTGTCCACTGAATTCTGAACTGCATATTTTCAAAAGCAGATGCATATGTAACAGTTTAGTAAAAAAAGTCACAAAGTGGTCAGGAATATTAAAGTTGCAAAACATAGAAATGGCAAAAATCAAGGTAAGAGGGTTTTTTTTTTACATATAGCTCACTTTGGGGAGCTTTCTAAAGAGCAGAGAGCAAATAAGGGTGGAAAGTAAGATTTTTCAGAAAAAAAAAATTGCATTTAGGAACAAAGAAACCATAATTTTGTAGGTTGGGAAAGGTCTAAAGAGAACTATTTTGAATTAATTCCTAGAAAGATAAATTACTCACAAATTACTCAAGTGAAAGAAAACAGATGACAACTGAAAATGTAAATTTCTTGGGTATCCTTCTGTTTCTACAGGCGTAGGGTGTTTAATAAATAAAAACCAAAATTCTAAAGTGCTCTTATGAGATAGAAAATAAAGTCTTGTTCTTTGCTCTGAGGCACAGAACAGAGGATGAAATACTCACAGCAGCACTTTGCTGTATTAACTCACCGGGGAATGCTGTTTGTCCTGCCCCTTTTGCACAGCAGAACTGGCCATTTCCAGTATCTTAACAGCACCAACATCATTTGCTTCTTCCTCAGCTCACCCATCTTCAGCAACTCATATCAGACTGGTACTCACTTAAAAGTGAATGCTGTAAGTGAAATGATGATAAAATGAGATGATATCTGAACTGTATTTCATTTGAAATATAAATTTAACATTTGAAATGCTTGAAATATGAAAACATGTATACTTTAATATTGGGGTTTTGTCATGAGAAAAACCCAGCTTGTAACTGATTACTGTTTGATAAAACAATAGTCCTAATCAAATAGTTCTCCTAATATCTGGAATTGGCAGCTGCCAGGTGAGATAGGCCTTAGGCACAAGCTTGTGCAGCAGTTCTTCTATTCGCAAATGTTATTATCATACAATCTCAATGATACTTCTAAATTAAGTACCACTTTTACAAGGTATTTGAAGTCACTTGCTGTTCGTACTAATGACTTGCACTATCTATGTAGTAAGATATATTCCGAACGTTTAGATATGTATCCATGAAGAGCTTCTCTACAGGATAAAGTGAAAATCCCATACTCCATATTTTTTGGAAAATCACATATCTCATAAAGCACACGTATCACATAAATCCTTTAGAAACAGCCCAGCTAAAAGTAATTGGGCTGATAGTGGAATCAAGTTTTCTGTACCTTTTTATTAGAAACTTCAAGTACAGCTGCATTTCCTATGATGAAAATTACAATTTACATGTATTATTTATCAGCATCTTTTTTTAAGAAAGAAAATGCCCAAGTAATACAAAGCCAGACTCTTCCACCTTCCTATACCTTTCTGACTGTGGTCAGTAAGACTAGTGGTGTAGTAATCCATTCAAGATTCAATGGTGTTATTCCTGTGCTTAAATGAAGTATGTGTTTAAATGTTTTGCTGAAGCCTATGCTACTATACAGTGCAAGTAAGGGTGGCTGACGCTAACCCTTAGGGTCTCAGTCAAAGTTAACAAGCAACTTGCCACTGATTTCCATAGGCTTTGTATCAGGATCTTAGATTTTAACAAGTAGATCTTCAGGACTGGAGGGGGAATTTAAATGTAACACAACCTACTGGGGAAGTTTCACTCCTCCTCCTGGGACTTGCACACTAAGGATAGGAGGCAGTTACAGCTTTCAGCAGTCAACCCTGACTGTCTAATTCAAGTCATATATGCTTCAGTATTTTGTTATGACGTTTCTCCTGCTCAGTGCTTATGGGTTAAAGTGGTAACCACCATATAAATAAGCCTCGTTACAATAGCAAAGTCTAGCAATTATTAAGCATCTTCAAATGCATCACAGTACTATATATAGCAGTAAAATGGTAAAGCTTTCCTCCTCAGTAACACTGTTTTGAACAGGAAAACTGCATCATTTTAAAGAAATAAGCACATACTAGGGGAATTCTCTTTTTCTCTCATCTCTGGCAACAGAATGTCCTGTTATACTTAGCACTGGGACTTCAGTAAGAGAGTCTATTAGCTTAATGACCTTTTCCTGAAGTTAAATAAACCCAAAAAACCAAATACAATTTTGTTAATTTAATCTGTTAGAAACATTTAGGCAGCATGAAAAATTTCTGAAGAAAATCCCATAACAGTGACAAAGATAACCATGGAAAAAAATAAATAATTGCAACTATTTCAAGTTCTATTTCCCTGTATGCGGTATTATGTCATTCCCAACAATGGTAAACTTTAATTTTTCCATCCAAAAATAAAAATAAAAATGATGATCTTATTGTAAAAGATAATCTAATTTATTGTTAATGGTTTGAATCATTGCTGGGGGTCAAAGGCATCTTTTACATCAATTTGCAAAAGTAAATTAAAGTTTTGAAGGAAATGTAAAAGTCAAGTTGCTTGGGAGTACATTAAATTATATGCTAGTTAATGGTGTTAGAGAGATGGTTTAAAAATAAATTGCCCATAATACCTTTTAATAAAGGAACTAAATGCATTTTTGTTCCCTGCTAAAAGCAGATGCCTATTTGGCACTGTTTTGAATCCCACTTGCCATGTATATTTTGATTAATACTATGCTGGGTAATCTGCACTATGTGGTCTAGGTTCAGTAACCTCACTGTAAAATAATGAGCCTTCAAGAATAAAAAATACGTTCACTATAAAGTTGTATATTCTGAGGAGCTCTGAACATATTCAAATGAAATGAAAAAAAATGAAGCTTTCACCCAGTAAATTTGATCAAAAGTGAAACTTGCATATCTCAATTTGTAGTTAATTTTCAGTCTATGCTCTGAAAAACCAGACAAAATATCAACTTTTTGCATATGTTTTCTATAAATACCTTTTCCTTGAGTCAGCTGCCATAGGACCCTGCAAGAGCTCCAGTCTTAAGGGAGCTTATGGCAACTGGGATGCAGCCAATAGCAATGAGTTCACTCAGTAAGTAGTGTCTTCAAAAAAAGGTCCAGCACTCATATTTTATGAAATATGTAACATGATTTACCCAAGGTTGTCAAAAGAGATGAATTTCAGCCAAATGCAAGGTAATAAATAGTAATATGTGCTGCATATAGTTGACTTATAACCCTTGGCATTTTGAAACAAAATTCTTTTGAAGAATTCATTTTATACGTCATAAACTTTCCTATTGTTTCTCCTGTTTTGACTGTCTTTGTCATCAGGTTTCTTGTGAAAAGTATTTCTGAAAATTGTAAATGAAGCAATATTTTCAAGAATACTTATATAGGTCTTTATTTCCATGGTGTTCTTGGAATAAGAAAGTTAGTAGTGTAGAAAAATGGTCTGTTTCATTAAATTGGAACCTAGGGGAAAAAAGAGGCGATAAGGTAATGTATATGTGAGCTTTTTTATTATTATTTATTTAATGATTATAGAAAACCTTTTTTCAAGGTTGAAAGTTATTTGTTTTCATGAAATAGTTATGTTATTTTGAGACATAGAATAACTCAGGTTTTTTTAAAATCTATTTTGTGCTAAATTGTAAAGTGCATTGATCCAATCACTTATGCAGGAAAACAAACACCTTTAAAGTAAATATAGCTGAAAAGTGTATCATATTATTATGTGTTCATTTCAAATCCTCTGGCACACATTATACATGCAGTTACAAATTCTCAATTATGAGCAAAATGTATGTCCTTTTCTGCCACTCCATGCTTCAAAATTTAGGCATCTATTGCCCTGCTTGTCTTCTGTTTAAACCAGAGCGTTTCAATTGCCAGGGTGCAGCGCGTGCTGATGAACCTTAGAAAGCACTCATAGACTTTTAGACAGCATACTCATATTTCAGCACATATTCAAATTTTTAGAAGATCTTCCAGAGCAGCCCCTTAGGTTTGGCTGAAATACCTTGCTGCCTGCAACAGTAGCCAACAGCGGATACCTAGGAAAAGCCTCAGAGCCCAGTAATCATATAGCGAAGTTTTCCTCAAACACTCCAAGCCTCTACTGATCAGTGCCTTAAGGAGTCCATCAGCCAGGACTGGTATCTGAGTGGTACGGTATAAGGCTATAGATAAGCCCTCAAATACAACAAGAAAGTATGGATCTACTAAAACAAGGCTTCCACACACAATTAAATTTAAAAAAAAAATAGACTCTTTTGTTTTTTACCTGATCAGCTTAAACCCAGAAAAAGAGCTAATTACAATGGAATTATCCACTTTTCTAGGCAGATACAGGGATCGTGCACTTCCTCAAAGGCTCTCTGTGTGAAGATCTCCCAAAATTCTTTCTCTTAATGTTGAGGCAGGAATTGCAGCTTTGAACTATTTAGGAAGGTATTTATCTAATCTAATTTTAGGGTCTAGTTAAAACAAATTAGAACATTCTTGAATATATCCCAAAATTATATGTACCTAAAAACAGCAGCTTGTCCATAATGTTTTTAGCCATTGCTCAAATAATATACAGGCAGATTTAATCCAGCTTAGTCACACTGAACTCCAATTACAGTCAAGGAAACAAATACTTCTAGGGTGCAAGTCACCTGAATTATTTTTGATAGCTAGCCTGCAGTGAGAATAATAAAATTCTAGAAGCGCTCCCATGAACCACAAAGTAAGGACAGAGGACCAGCTCAGATGCAGGAGTCTACATTTGGTCAGAAGATTCCCTTCCCTACTGTCAAGGTAGGTATTAAGGAAAACATTGATCTGCTCTAGCTTCTTTAACTTCTTTGCTGGTGTACTGTAAGCAATAATAAACTGTTGGAAAGAAGTGAACCAGTGTAGAGCACAACCTAAAAAAATATTGAGGTAATACTGGTAGGCAAATAAAAACATCATTTAGAGTTTGGAAAGGTAAATATATATTTGTATACCCCTAATTTAGCAAGTGCAATTGTCCTAAGCATACACTGCAGATCTGCTGATAGTACTTAAAACAGAGATTATAAGTGGCTTTCATTTTTGCAATTACGTACGCACCTTAGAGAAAGGGATAAAAGAACATACTAGAGAATTTTTTCCTACTTTTAGAAAATATGTATTCTCAGAAGCATAAACTGGAAGTAATTGGACAAATAAAACAGTACCAAGTTCAGTTGCAGGAAATATTTAACTATTGTCTTGAAAGACTCCATGCACTAAGCAGATAGCCAGTGTTCAACTGACAGTATTTGACATGGATGTAAAGAAACAGACTTTGAGGTCAAAGGAAGGTGCCCTTATTATTTAATCTGTTACTCTGCCCTTAAAGAGGCCACAGAACTTCAGCCTCCAGTTTGGGGGAAAGGGCCATAACTTTTTGGTCAGCTTGGGTGAGCTGAAGGGAACTTAGGAAACTTCTAGAAATTGGTTATTGCTTGGATAAATCATTCATGAGGAAATCTGTAGGTCAGAGTATTTTTTAGATAACTTCTGAGAAATAATATAAATGCCATCCCCTCAGGTAGGAAAACCATATTTCAAATGTTCATATAGGCACCAGAATTTGGAGAATATGACATGAGGTGGAATGTGGGCCCAAGTTTAATGAATGAAAATGAAGATAGCGTTCTTCTTCATTAAAACATGTACATTCAATTTAAAAAAATACATCTTTCATTTTATTGCAAATAATTAATAGCCGTGACGAGCTAAGTGTACACTAATAAGTGTACACTAATTTTG